GGCGCGGCGCAGCGGCGAGGGCTCTGGAGCCCGAGTTTTGCGAGGGGGCCGGAGCGCGGCGCCGAGCCGTTTGCGTCGCCCGACTGGGCAGTGCTCGCGCGCGCGCAGGGGAGGACTCGTGCGTCGCGCGCTGGCGGGGGCCACGGAACGTGAGCTTCGCGCTTGGATCTCGGCCCGCGAAGGGGATGCTGCTTGCCGGCGCGACCCGACGCGCGCTGCTTGCGCGCGGGTGCCCCTGCGGATACGTCGCGGCCGATGAGCATCTGCGGGCACATCGCTGCGCGACCACCGCGCGGGGTGGTGGTGGGGCCTGTCTAGAAGAAGGAATCCAGTTCGACGGGTTTCGTCGGGATCCCTCCAGCCTTAGGCTGCGTCAGGATTCTTCGGTTGCTCAAGAACAATCACGTTTCCTCATTGTCCCTCACGAGCCTTCGAAGTTCCACGCGGCTGTTCTGGTGGCGCGGCAGCTGCGTCGCACCCTTTGGCATCCCACTGCGCGACCACCGTGCGGGATGGCGGGGGGATCTGTGTAAGAGGAGGTTCCGATCAAGGGGGTTCGTCGGAATCCATCAGGCTACGTCTGAGCCTTCGGGATCCCGCAGGGTTGCCCTTCGGAGTTTCCTTTGGTTCCCCCAGGATTCCGCAAGGTCATCTGAGGGTCTTGTCGGTTTCCCCGGATTCTTCTGTGGATTTCTCAGAAGTCATCCGGTTTCCTGACGGTCCGTCTGGATTCTTCAAAAATTCCACGCGGTTTTTCTAGCGACGTCGCAGCGGCGTCGCATTTCTTGTGGTTGCCTTGTGCTTTGGGTTTTTTCCAGAGACCGCGTCCGGATTCGGGCGAGTGGGTCCTGTTGCAAAGGGGGTCTCGAACATGTGCGCAATATTTCGCGCAATCGTTCGTGCCAGATGCGCAGGTCGTGCAATATCAGCACGTGGTTGCCACGCGCCGTGCGCCACAGGAGGAACTGTTGCAGTTTTTGGGGCGACCCCATTACGAAAGACCCCCTCTGCCCGGAGCCTATAATGATGACAATAATCGTCATCATTATCGTCATTATTGTCATCATTATCGTCATGATCGTCATCATTATTGTCATTATCGTCATTATCGTCATTATTGTCGTCATTATCGTCGTTATCGTCATTATTGTCATGGAGCTCCCTGGGTTTTATAGGGGTCTCGCGGGAGTTCCTGCGAGTTCCCCGGGCTGCCTGCAGTGCTTTGCGCCCTCCCGGGGAGCTCCCCGGGCTTTCCTGTGATTTCCTGGGGCATCCTTAGGTTCCCTGGGGGGATCTCCACGCAGGGTTCCCTGAGTTTTCCCTGGCGCCGTGGGTCTTCCTGGGAGCTCTTGGGAACTCCCGGGGAGTCCCCAGGGTTGCTGGGATTCCTCGGTTCCCTGGGCCTCCCTGCTGTTCCCTGAGCCGTCAAGTGCGCGACGGGTGCTTGCCTGAGCACTCCCGAAGCTCCCTGGAGACCCCTGGCGCTTCCTGGGGCTGCTCGGGACTTACTGGGGTTCCTTGGGGGCCTCCCGGGGCTTCCCGGGAATCCCCTGGGGGCTTTGGGGGCTCCCTGGAGCCTCCGCTGGGTGGCCCCATGGAGGGAGCAGGTGCTGTCCAGAAGCGCTGAGAGCTCGCAGGTGGCCATGCGAGCTCTGAGCGCCCTCCTCTTCATCCTTATCCTCGTACCCTCGTCATGCTCCTCTTCATCCTTATCCTCGTCCACCTCCTCTGTCGTCCTCCGTCTCCATGTCCTCCCCTCCCCTCCATACCCTCCGTCCCTCCCCCCCGCCCATTGCTTCCCCTCACTCCCCTCCCCTCCCCCGCCTCCATTGCCTCCTCCGCCCCGGGCGCGCGGAGGAAGCGGCCTTCTTTATCTCGCCGTGTGGGGGCGCGTGTTCAACGTGACCAGCGGGCATAGCTTTTACGCGCAGGGCGCCCAGCGCCCACCGTGGACACCGTGGACGTACCAGCCTCCTCCTCCTCCTCCTCCTCCTCCTTCTCCTCCTCCTCCTCCTCCTCCTCCTCCTCCACCTCCCCCTGCCACCCCCTTTGCAATCCCCACCCTGACTTCCAGGCCTTCCAGATGGGATCGGAGCAGATGGGGTCGGTGGATCGCGCCGCATCGCAGACGCATCGGCGATGCGGCTCGATGTGGAGCCCGATGTTCTCCACGCTCACGTCGCCGATGCATCGCCGATGTCGCCAGTGCATCGCTTATGCATCGCCGATGCATCGGCGATGCATAGACGATGCGGCGCGATCCTCCGACCCCACCTGGGAGGCGTCTATTGCTGCCCCCACTTGCTACCCCCATCTGGAGGACCCGCACGTGCCCCGCACAGGACGACGCACAGCGACACAGACGCGGGTTAGACTGATCGAACAGTGTGCTGGCGCCCCGACGCCATCGCTCAGCCCGACGCAGGGCCGTCGTTGTCGTCGTCGTCGTCATCGTCGTCGGCATTGTCGTCGTCGTCGTCGTCGTCGTCGTCGTCGTCGTCGTCGTCGTCGTCGTCTCCTCCCTACTCCCTCCTCCCTCCTCCGTCTCCCCAGGAAGTTCCAGGCGCGCGTTCGCTGCCACTGCCGCTTCTCTCGTCCGCCCTGAGCGAGAGAGAGGTGGGGAATGTCCAGTACGGTCGGACCCGAGGTATCAGATCGAGGTCGGTTCGGAGAGGGCACCCTGATGTTTCTCGTGTCTGTTGGATGCTCTTGTGCCTCCGGGGGGAGGGTGTCCTCGAGTGTTATTCAGTTTGGCCTGCGGGTCTCACGTTCTTGAAGGATGGTCTTCAATCTTAGGTCCAGCTGTAGCACATCATGGAGGCCTTGTATGTCCTTGTTTCTCCGTCTCTGGAGTGCATTAACGTGCGATGGCGTCTGGTAGTCGATGGGGCAAGCGCCGATCTAGCATCGATTGGCGTCGATTCGGCGTCGGCCAGCGTCGAGCAGCATCGGTCAGCGTCGATTGGCAAGAACCAGCAAGATGGCACAGGAGGCGCCCATGAGTTGCCACAGAAGGGGGAGGGGGAGGGGGGAGTCTCCGCGAAGATGGGATCGGAGGGTCGAGGCTCCAGTGCCCCTCGCCGCGCCGGGCGGGCTCCATGCCGGAGTTCGGGCCAAAGCGTGTGCGGGCAGAGGTCCGAGGTGCAGCTCTTTTCGGGCCAGTGCGAGGAAACATGTGCGGGGAAGGTTTATACTTACGTCGGGCCTGTCCCTCTACAGGAGGAATATTCAAAAACAATCAAAAAATAGTCTGGGGACGATTGGTTTTCACTTTACTTTTGATTCTTTTGGGGATATATTTTAGTTTCGTCCGAAATCCCCCTGTAGGGGGACACGCCCGACTGAAGTTCATACCCATTTCGACGGCGTCCTGGATGATTGGGAAAGGGATGCCGAAAGCCGTTAACTCAGCGGATCTAGACAACAGTCCAGCCTCGATAGATGCCAGATGGTATCCATAACCAGTGCGCCTCGGGCTTCCGAGGAAGAAAGCCCGAAAACTCGAGACGCAATGGATGTGTACACGGTTCTTGCCCGCAACATGGGCCCTGAACAGCAACGTGTCCCGACATGTTTCGCTGTCTTCGGCCCTTCGGGGCCCTCCTCGGGCTTTCTGGGGCAGCCCACAGTACGGCTCGGCATGGAACGCCAGTCCCGAGGGGAGCTTCTCCTCCAGGGCATCCGGGGCTCGCCTCGTTCCCTCAAGACCGTTTGTCCTCCATGGCCAAGGAGAGAGGGTATGCCAAGAGATGGACTTGCGCCGAAGGCAGAGAGGGACTGGTGGAGATTCACATGTGGATTCTGCAGACGGAAGGGAAGCGGTTCCGCACAGGACAACAGGGAGAAGCGAGCAGGGTACAGCTCGTGCAGGTTGACGCCCTTCCGCAGGGGAGGACGAACGGTGGAATGAGGTAACAGCGTTCGGCAGCGAAGCTGGGTATAAGCCACAAACCTCGGACCCAAACCTGCGTATGTCCGCGCCCATCCTTTCCTCCTCGGTAGCGGATGGGCTTTGCCCTGCCGTTGTCGCAATTCTCATCCCACCTGCAGCTCTTCCCCACATGACACTCGCACACTGGCCGAACTGCTCCATCTGGACCAGCCGGGCCGCGAGAGAGAGAGAGAGAGGGACGGCAGTCTTGGCCCCGGATTGCCAGGGATTGGGTGGAGGGGTGGCACTTCCTTCCAACCCTCCCCCCCCTCCCCCCTCCTCGATCTATTGATTGCAGCGTTCTGTAGCCTGGGGGTGAGATGAGGCTCAAGCTCGGCAAGGCTAATATAAGAGTTGCTGCTCTTCGGGAGATGGCTCAGATTTTTTGCACATCCCCAGCGGGGCGAGACTCTGAGGTGGCCCGCAGCAGGAGCACTGAAAGAAACTCGCCAGGTGGAGGTATGATGTGTTGCACCTCTGTTGTATCATGATGTTTGCGTCGAAATGTAAGCACACAGGCCAAGCTACCATGGAAGCACTTTGGGGGCACGTGATTCTGGTTCAGCTGACGGCGCGAGTTCAATCCCCAATCTCCCAGACGCGACGAATGGCCTGGGGGGCGGCTTGCGTTTAGCTAGGAGATGTTTGCTATCAAAAAGCAGAATGAGAGCGCATTCACGCTACTCGTCCACAGCCCTTCCCGCCGGCCTTCCCGTCGCGGTCAGAAATTTTGGTTTCTCATGGTGCCGCAGCACCTCCCATCTTTTCAAGAGGAACAGCGGGAATGAGATCGTCAAGCTCGAGTTTCAAAACGAGTTTGCTTGGAGTCAACGGCCGGTTTCTCCGCGGCCATCGATGCATCATAACCTCGCCCATCCTGTGCCATTTCGTGCAATACCCTTGCGGTTGCTGGCAGTTCTTGCTTGTTTACCTCAGATCATTGTGAGGTGCGTCGGTTGCGGGATGAGGGCCAGTAGTCAACACGGCAACCAAGGCCTGATGCGGCGTACGGCAAGTTTTCTGGGCACGACTGCACCAGGGCATTCGCCTTGCACAGCTTGAAGGCCGCCAGCCCACTGGGTCAACGGGCGCGAAGGTAGATGAGGGAGGCACTGCAGGGGAACCAGGAGGGAGGGAGAATGGATGAAGGGAAAGAGGGGGATGGGATGGATGGACAGAGGGAGGCAATGATGGATGGAAGGAGTGATGTAAGGCGGGAGGTAGGATGGGAGGGGGTCCCGGATGAAGGGACGAAGGATTAGGGGTAACAGTATTGATGTGAAGGAGGACGATGCGATCTGGCGCAATTCCGATGTTACAGATTATGTCGTTGGTGTCGTTTTTGTCGCCGTAGTGAGCGAGTGAGCGATTCCTGGCCGAGGAGGAGCAAAAGGATGAGGAGGAGGAGGAGGCGGCGGAGGAAGGCAGGAGCAGGACAACGACGACGGAGGGACGCGTAGCTGAAGCAGCAGGAAGCCAAGGAGGAGGATCAGGAGGAAGATGACATGGGACAGAAGGGGGAGGGGGGACAACGACGACGAAGGCAAAGACAAAGTTAAACACAAAGACAACGGCGACGACGACGTTGACGACGACGACGACGACGACGACGACGACGACGACTGCGACGACGACGACGACGACGACGACGACGACGACGACGACGACGACGACGACGACGGCGACGGCGACGGCGACGGCGACGACGACGGCGACGGCGACGACGGCGGCGATGGCGACAGTGACAGCGACGAAGACGACGTCGGCGACGGCGACGGCGTCGGCGACGGCGACGCGACGGCGACGGCGTTGGCGACGGCGTTGGCGACGGCGACGGCGACGGCGACGGCGACCATGACGACGACGATGACGAGAGCGGCGCCGGCGACGGGGTGCGCAGCCGCCCCCGACACGGAGGCCAGCCTGCTGGACATGGACCTGGAGGGCATCGAGGAGCCGCGCGGGGGGGGGGGGAACGGGGGGCGTCTCCGCAGGAGCCCTCAGAGCTCCGAATCATCAGGGGTAACTCGGGTCAGGGCTAACTCGGGTTCGTTTTTCGGGATTCCAAGCCCGACTTACCCCGGACCCGACTTACCCCAGTTAACTCGGGCGTCCAGAGCCCCGAATCATCAGGGGTAATTCGGGTCAGGGGTAACTCGGGTCAGGGCTAACTCGGGTTCGTTTTTCGGGATTCCAAACCCGACTTACCCCGGACCCGACTTACCCCGGATAACTCGGGCGTCCAGAGCCCCGAATCATCAGGGGTAACTCGGGTCAGGGGTAACTCGGGTCAGGGCTAACTCGGGTTCCTTTTTCGGGAATCCAAGCCCGAGTTACCCCGGACCCGAGTTACCCCGGATAACTCGGGCGCCCAATGCTTCTTGCTTGTGCAGGAAGCATCGAGGAGCAGTCTGTTGTTTGTGTAGGTCACCCTGCAAAAAAAAACAAACACACGCACGGAGCAACACAAATGCCCAGGGGTCGACGTCCAAGCGATGGCGGGCCCGGGATTGCGGTCGGGAGCTGTGGCAAACGTCTCCCTCCCTGATCCCTCATCCCTCCTGCCCCCCTCTCTTCTGCTCTTGGCCGCTTGGCAGGGTGGGTTTTAAGTGTTGCCAGTGCTGATTTTGAGCGTTGTGGTCCACACTTGTGGCCCCCCTTCAGGGAGGGGGGTCCAGGGGCCAGACGGCGCTGCGAAGCTTGACGCTTCCTCCTGCCGAGTCGGTCCGATCCTCCCCCCTCCACACCCCTTCCCCCTCCCTCCCCTCCACAATTACACAATTATGATGACTACTCTCCTCTCTTCCCTGATGACGTCCAGAAGATGTTTGGCCCCTCCCCGCGCATTGTTTTGTTTACACACTGGATTCCCGTGAGTTGGGTTTTCGCTTGGGTTTGATTCCAAAATTTTGCTCCCGATGAAGCGGTGGCCTCATTTTCGGGCTTCCGCTCGTTCCGAATCGTGCTGCCGCTGCAGCGTTGGCCTCATTTCCGCGCTTCCGCTCGTTCCGAATCGTGCTCCCGCTGCAGCGCTGACGTCATTATTTCCAGTGCCATGCCACGGCATGCAATGTAATGCTATGTGGTGTTCCGCTGCGCGATGCCATCTTTCAGCTGCATTGCTAGGATATGCGGTGCTTGACAGGACAGTGCCATGCAATGCCATGCTACGCTTTGATCCTCAACGCCATGATATGATATGTTATGTTATGTGCCGCTGTGCGATGCCATTATTTGCGTTGCAATGCTTTGTGATGCGAGTCTTCACTACGCAACGCCACGCCATGCTATGACATACTACGCTCTGCCGTGCTCTTCTACGCCCTGCATTGCTGTGCTCTACGATGCATCGCGCACCCTCTCGGGATCATTGCCCTGCTCGACATCCGACAATGCGAATAGAGAGGAGATCTGGTCCATGGTAAGGGATGGGAGGGAGGGGTAGGACGCCAGATATGACGCGAGCGCACTTGGCTTGCCCACATCCCCCTCTCCCCACCTCGCTCCCTCCCCCCTCCCTTGACCCCTCTCTCCTCCTGTGCCCTTCTACGGTCAGGAACGTTTGTTTAACATGTCGCGCCGCCGGTTCTGGCCCACCACGCTTCGGCGCGACACGCTCACCACGTCCCAGCACCCCAGCGTCAGCGTCCTGAGCTGTTCCCAGCCTCCCGCCCCGCAGAGCGGAGCGATAGGCGATCCACCTGCAGGCCACAGGGTGTCGCCAGTGCCGCCAAGTGCCCGACCGCAGAAGATCTTGAGCCTGTGGCTGTTCCGCGTTCTCTCTGGCCTCTGGCGTGCCGTGTCCTGGGACCCCCGGGGCAGTCCAAGGACTGCCGAGGATGCAGAGCTGGTCCCAGGGCTGGGGGAGGGGGTCCAAAGGTCCGGGTCCCCGAAGTGTTGGCACGTCGAGCGCGCGGAGGTCTGGGACCCGGGGTGCCCCGCTTCGTGAGAGGAGCTGGGCAGGAGGCGCTTGGCGCTTCTCGGTCCCTGGGGGCCCCCGCCAGGCCCCCGGAGACCGCCAGCCAGAACGGCACAGAAATGGAGGAGCAAAAAAAAGTCCTGGGGAAGGGGCCCACGTCGCGAAAAAGCGTGGCGGCGCCGAGGGGATCCCGGGGCGCCCGCTTGTTCCACCCCGTGGGCAATCTCTTCGGGAGGGGGAGGGCAACCTCCGCGCCGAGGCCGATCCCCTGCTTCCCTCGCTCTCTCGCGCTGTCGCATTCGAGGGCCCTCTGGGGGGGCCCTCGTCGCCACGGCGGGCCTCGCCTCGGAGTCCTGGGCACGACGCAGCCCAGGGGAGATCCAGGAATAGGGGGCCACATGTCAGAGCCCCGAATCATCAGGGGTAACTCGGGTCAGGGCTAACTCGGGTTCGGTTTTCGGGAATCCGAGCCCGAGTTACCCCGGACCCGAGTTACCCCGGATAACTCGGGCGCCAAAACATGTGAACCCTACCCCTACCCCCCACGATTTCTGAGGGGAGGGTGGGATTTACTTCGCTCGGGAGCTCCCGAACGAGGTGAACCCCACCCTCCCCCTCAGAACTCGTGGTGGGTAGGGGTAGGGTTCACATGTGGCCCCCTGAGGAAGCAGCTGCCCTGGGCGCGGCGAGGCAGGAGAGGCGAGGACTGGCCACGCGCGCCTGCCGCAGCCGTTGGCTGAAGCCGCTCCGGCCGAAGCCATTCTGTCTGGAGCCGGTCTTGGAGCCCTGGAGCACAGGATCTCGCTCTGGAAGCCCGCGCGGCCCTCTTGAGGTGGACCTGTAGGCAACGGCTAAAGTCTCGCCGAAGGTCCATTAATGGAGAATGACGATTAATGAATGACCGGGGGTCGTGTTCACGCGGTGGCGCCCAGGATGACGATTAGAAAAACCCGGCCGCGGGCTGGATAAACGTATGTTTTTTAATCGTTCCCCTCCAGTCAGAAACTTGTGCAGAAATAGCAGATAACTATTTTTTAAATCGTTCTCTCCCCTTTTTTATTCATCGTCATCCCGCATTATCGTCGGGGTGCTGGGGCCGGCGTTTTGGAGACATGCGCCGATGGCGGCTAGACCTTGGGCTTGGGGGACCCAGAAGGGGCCATGGACGCTCGAGCTCCCCGCTTTTTCGCCCGTCCGCGCGCCGCCGCTGTAGAGAAAGCATGCCCGCGCTCGCGTGCAGAAGGCGGCGGCGAAGGGGCTCCGCGGCGGCCACATCGGGGGGGGCTTCCTGGTGGCTGCTGGACGCGGCAGCCTGAGCTCGGCACGCGTGCGTACTTCGTGCGCTGCTGGGCCGCGTGGCACCTCGAAGCAAAACACAAAAACATGAACACACGTTCTCGGCTCAGTTGCCTCGATACGCCCGTTCTGAAATACAACACGTCCCGTGTTCAAGACGTCCGTGTCGACACGTTGCGTGCTGGGTCTACGTATTGGACCACGTTTGGGCGAAGGTATCGCATCGGACCTACGCTTTCAGTCCACGCATTGAGCTCCGTATCAACACGCCACGTGTTGCGTGTTGCGTATCGGGGCAGCCAAATTTCTCGGAGCTCCGCGCGGATTTCTCGGGTCAGCGTGGGACTCGCCCGTCGGCGCCTCCGGCGCCGCCCCCTGCGCGCTCCGCGCCCAGGGAGGAGGGGGGCCCAGCACGGGCCCGAGAAGGCCGGGCCGGCCTTCGCAACGCGGATGTTTCTGCAGATTTGTCTCAAGTCGGCCCGTCCCTCTACAAGGGGAGTATTCAAAAATAGCAAAAAAAAAAAAATAGTCTGGGGATTATGTTTTGAGTATTGTTGAGCATCCTTTTCAGCATTTTCTGTGTATTTTAAATTGTTCGTCCAACATCCCCCTGTAGGGGGACAGGCCCGACCTAAGATTTGTCTTCTTCTGGCCACGGGCGCGGCACGGGACGAGCAGGTGGCAGTGGCAGGGGCCAGGAGTGAGAAGAGACTTTGGAAAGGAGAGTAGGTAGACATGGATTGTGCAGCCCCTTTGCCGCATCTCGTGCCGTAGATGGGACCTGCTCCAGAGTGCATAAAGAAGGGACCGCAGCCCACGGCGTGCAAGAGGGAGCAGTTGCTTGGGAGTTGCCGCAAGCCAGTCGGAAGCAAGACGTGTAGATGGGCGAAGAAGGGAAATTATCATCCGACATTTTTAAAAGAAGTGGGGAGGAGAGGAGGAGCGAAAGATGGCCAGGCTGGCGAGGAGCAGCAGGAACATGTAAACATACCTATACGACCACCCTGCGGGTGATAAGGAGGTTGAGGGGGGGGGCCCAGCAATGGGCAACAGTGGTGAATGTTGTTGTGACAATGCCAGTGGAGATAGTTGCGTTGCCGCTCGCTCTGAGGGGCGTTGGTGTCGAGTTGTTTACGTCACCTTCCCCTGGGAACCTGCCCAACCTGCGCAACGGCAGCTAACGGCGCCATTTGGCCACAGAAGATTGAAGCGCTGGCAAAGCTTGGCGCAGCCCGCGCCGCCTCTTGCACTATCGATCTCAGTATCGATCTCTCCATCGGTCTCACTCAATCGAACTCACTCGATCAATCTCACCATCGATCTCACAATCGATCTCATCATCGATCTCTCTCGGCCGGTCTCACTATCGATCTCACCAGCGATCCCACAATCGATCTCACTATCGATCTCACTATCGGTTCCCCTAACGATCACACCACCATCATCATTATAATCATCCACGTCATCATCGGGACACCGACGGGACACCGAAAGGACACCAGCGGGACACCGGCGGGACACCGCGCGGCACCGGCCGCCCGGTCAAGGTTCTTTTGGTCCGGCCGGGACACCGCGCGGCACCGGCCGCCCGGTCAAGGTTTTTTTTGCTCCGGCCGCGCCTCAGCCACAGGAGACTTTCTCTCGCCCGCCCACGCAGCTTCGCCTCGCCCGCACGGCACGCACGAACACGAAACCGAAATCGATTTCCCGGTAGGGGGGCTCTCCGTTCCACTTCGATCTCACCACCCAACTTTCGATCAGATACTGTTGAATGTCCTGGCGCTGCGCCCGCCCGAATGCTTTGAAAAGCGCGCCAGCCTGCCATCGGCTCCAACGGCGCAGGGCGAGTGCGATGGCGGCGAGCCAGCCGCGTTGCGTGGTTGTTTTAGAAGTTTTTTGTGTTAAAAAATGTTGCCCTGGAGCCAGTTTATGACTTTTACGTGTTCGATTTGGTTAGCCTCTCATTGGCACAGGTCTATGAGTCTACCAGCCCATACCTTTTTTGTGAAACGTTGCTTCTCTAGCTCGTTGCACGCAGCGTCTCACACAGAAGACTCCCACATTACGACGTTCCAGTTGTTCCACACTGAGGCCGGTTTGTGACGCTTGCTCTCTTTGGAATCGTTTTCCTCCGCCATAGCGATAGTGGTTCATGTTTTCATTATCGGATACATTCGGGTCCCGTTGCCCACAGAATGTATGCCAGCTTTTGCGGTGTTCTATGGCATTGCAAGGTTGATGTAGTCTTGAGTGTACACGTCGTCTGATAGAGAGTCAGGAGGCAAATAGAAGTGCACCCACAATGGCTGATTCCTTTTCTGCAGTGTATCATTGCCCGTTGTCATTTCGTTATGTGTTTACGCATTCCAGTTTTTGCTTTTCCTCGCGGAAGGCCCCGCAGGTTACCAGGTGCCGCTTCCTGTTCTGTGCATTCACATTGTCGCGTGTCTTGGAGTATTCTTCTTCCTCCCTTGCACAATGTTCGGAAGCCTCCTCGCCTGTATTCCACAGTGCCACCATGTTCTCTTCAGGTTTAAACGGCTGCGCACTAACCACTGGTTAAGCGAGGCGTCTTTCCCCAATAGTCGTGCACGCAAGCCCTTCGGGACGAGTATCGGTTTCCAAGGCTCTCGGCTAGAATGTTGCATGTATGCAGAAGTAGTGTAGTAAATTCTTCTTTGCAGGAGCGAAAATTGGAGAACCTCAACACAACTTATTGGGATACGTATAGAGAGAAATACCCGATCGTTGGCAAATTGGTTGATCCCCCGTACGATGCAGAGGAAGGGTGTTCGGTGCAGGGTCAATGCAGGGAGCAACGAGTGCAATTACGATCAACACCAGGCAGTGATGAACAGTGAGAGGCTGAAGCCAAGGACGAGATTGCGTGGGCAGGTGAGGTCGACTGAGCATGCGGATTAACAGTGAGGTACGCGTTCGAACTTGCGACGTTCACGCAACAGGCATCCTGCGTGAGCCATGTCTCCCCGATGGTGTTAGTCAAAAGCATTGTCATGCCCAGAAGCGCACCGTCGGAGAGGGACGCTCACCGTGCAGAAGTGTTCGCCAAGCTCGCGAGCGGGGAAGTGGATGCAACATGCTGCGAAGCGGTGTGGGCATTTGGCGCGGCAAGTTGGCGCGTACATACAGTGAGTTCTCCCAGCAGGTGCCCGCACAAATAATGTACGACATATGGCAGGTCGAGACGTATCTCAACACACGCACGCGCACATATGAATATGTGTGCGTGTTCAAACACATATTGTTTCGACAACGCGTTTCTGGTTTCATTATGGCTTCATCTTGGTCACGATATCTAGTGGCATTTGGCCTATCCCGTGTCTGTTCCTGGGGTCGTTTTGGTGCCTCTTGCGAGGTTTGAGGGAGCGTTTTCTGTGGACGCTGGGACAGGGGGGGTCCGAACCGTGCCACGCACTCCCCCGTCGGGCAATGACGACGACGACGACGACCACGGCGACAACGACGACGACGCGTATCAGGATTCAAGTAGAGCTGGATTGAGTTATACTAAAATATCATCCGAGTTGTGTCTTTAGTGAGATTATATGAGACCAGGGCCCAAGCCGAGTGGGATTCGATTAGAGGTGGACATAGTCCGAATCGGATCGAGTTCTAGTAGGATCCGATTAGAGCCTGAGTAGGATTCCATGAGACTGGGTCTGGCCCTCGTATGAGTCTACCAGAGCTGGATCGAGCCCTCGTAAGATTCTATTAGAGCTGGATCGAGCTGTCGCTGGATTGTACGAAAGCTGGATCCAGCCCTGGTAGGATTCCGTTCGAGCTGGGTCTGCCCGTTGAAGAGGTTCTAGTGGTGCTGGCCAGAGCCCTGGTCGGATTCTTAGTTGTGGTCCCCGCCTTACGCAGATTGCAGCATAGCTGGATCCAGCCCGAGTGGGATTCGATCCGGGGTGGACCTCGTAGGAGTCTCTCAAACCTGGACCCAGCTCTGATAGGGGCTCACCAGAGCTGAATCGAACCTTAGTACGGTTTCTTGAAAGCTAGATCCAGCGCAAGTAGGATTCGCTCAGAGCTGGACCAAACCCTCGTATGATTCCATTAAAACTGGATCGAGTCCTCGTAGGAGCTTACCAAAGCTGGAGCCAGCCGTAGTAGGATCTTATAAGAGTTGGACCGAGCCCTCGTAGAGCGCGATTGATGCCAGGTCGAAATATTAGAGGTTTATGATAGACGTGGATCGAGTCCTATCAGGATTCAAGTAGATTGGGTTCCAGCCCGAACCAGACAGAGCCAGATCCAGCCCCAGTAGGATTCCGTTAGAGTTGGATCGAGCTGGTCGTCGTCGTCCACAGGTCGTCGGCACCGTCGTCGTCTACCTTTATCGTCGTAAGTTGTCCGTCTCCACTCGTCCGTCGCCCGCGTCGTTGTAGTCGTCGGTGTCCGTCCTTCGTCGTCCGTTTTCGGTCGTCCATCGTCGGTTTGTCGTGGTCGTTGTCGTCGTCATAGCACTGAGTCGTCGGCGGTGCCCGTCGTCGTGCTTGGCCCTCGTCGTCGTCCATCGGCTGTCGTCGTCATGCGTCATCGTCATCGTCGTCCGTCCTCCGTCGCCCACGTCGTCACAGTCGTCGTTGTGCGTTCTCTTCGTCTTTCGTCCTTCGTCGTCTGCCGCCCGGCGTCCGTCGTCGTCGTCGTTCTCGCCGTCGCTGTCGCTGTCGCTGTCGTTGTCGCTGTCGTTGTCGCTGTCGTCGCCGCCGCAGCTGACACGGTCGCCGGCAAGTCGCGGGCGTCTTGTGCCAGCGGCGCGTGGGGGAACCGGGGGGGTGGGCTGGTTCACCCCCCCCCTGGGAAAAGGGGAGGGGCGGAGGGCCGGGTCGAACCCCCACCCCACCCCGCTGGGGGGGGGGGGGAACGGAGGTGCTGGTTCCCCCCCCCCCCTCTGGAAAAGGGGAGGGGCGGAGGGCCGGTTCGAACCCCCACCCCACCCCGTTGGGGGGGCCGGTCAGCGAGGCCGCTGTCCAGGTCGGGAGCCTTGAGACGGGGGTCAATGCAAACGGGGGTCAGCCAGGGCGCCGGATCCTGCAGGATCCTGCGAAGGCCCCCTCTGGCTGACCCGGGTCAGCGAGCCGCTCGTGGCCGCGAGGCGGCCGCGCATATCGGTTGACCTGGGTTTACGAAGACCTGCGTTGCACTTTTTCTTTCCTGCATTGCAGTTTTTGGCTTCCTGCTGACCCGGGTCTGGATTGACCTGGGTCAGGAGATCCCCGAACCCCGTTGGGGGGGGGGGCCGGTCAGCGAGGCCGCTGTCCAGGGCGGCGGGGCCGGTTTTCCGGGCGCCGGGGGAGGGGGAGTGGGGAGTCCCGACGTGCCGCGGGATTTTTTCCCGAAAAGGCAGGCGTCCACGAAACGCGTTTTCGCTCGGAAGTTGTTGTTGGGGGGCTGTTGGGGGCTTATTGGGGGCCTGCCTGCCTCCGGATGCCTCGCGGGGCCTTTTGGGGGGGAAATGTCGAGCTCCCCTTTTTGAGCCGTTTTGTGTGGCCGTCCTGGGAGCCCATTGGCCTCTCGGGGTCTCTTGAGCCGTCCTGGACGCTCTCACGGACGAAAATAGAGAATGAGACAATCAGCCAAAAGCAAAGGTCCCCAATGTTTATGGCTTCCAGCCCCCAGGACTTCCAAGACGGCCCAAGAGACCACCAAGACGGTCCCAGGACGGGCCATGGGGATCATCCCCAGGCATGTTGGAAATTCGGATTCCGAGCGTCGCTCCCGAGGCTGTCGGGAGAGTCACAACCTGGGAAGCTTCCAGGGGTGCCCCAGAGCGCCCAGGACCCAGGAATCTTGGAAATATAGTGATTGATGATTTCTGTTTGTAGTTAACCGCTAAAGTTCTTTAGTTTTGGTCCCCCCCTTTTTGTCTCGGCGGCGAACAGGACTGGTCCCAAAACCTCCTCCTCCTCCTCCTCCTCCTCCTCCTCTTTCTCCCTCCTCCTCCTCCTCCTCCTCCTCCTCCTCCTCCTTCTGAGGATGGAGTTCTGAGGATAGAGTTTCTGAGGATCGATTTTCTGAGCTAGGATTTTCCAGAAGAGCGCTGCCGAGGCACAATTCGTAGTAGTCGTCGTAGTCCTAGTCGTAGCCGTCGTCGTCGTCGTCGCTGTTGCTCGGCGGGCGCCGGGGAAAACAGCAGATGATGAGCTACCCCCTAGCTGTCGGGCCCCAGTCCTTCCATGAGGCCGCCCGAAGACAGCTGCCCCCATGCTGGGGGGGGGGGGCGGCCACAAGCAGAAGCACCCTTTCAGGGTCCGTGGGGGCTCGCAGGGGCCGGCGAGCGCCCCGCCCTGTGCCGACGGCACGGCGGCGAGGCCCCGAGAGGGGCACGCGAAGGGCCCTGGATCTGCACGGACGAAATCCGGAGGTGGACTGACCTCCCACCCTGACGCGTCGATTGAGGAATTGGCCGTTTTCGGTTCGCGAGAGGGCGTCGCGGCCGTCATTTGTGCGGGTCCAGGTCCGTCGATTTCGGCCCCAGGTCGTTTTGACTAGAGGGAGGTTTACTAAAGGGAGGTTTGTCCACGCCGAGAAATGGGTGCGGAAAGAAGTGGGCACAATGCCAAACAGCAGTTCCTGTTCACTCTGAACAGGACTCGCTGTCCGCGCCGCCGCGGCCTGTGTCCATGTGAGACAGAAAGCCGCCTGCCCAACAGAGGCCGCTGTTGGTCTGGGACAATATTTGTTGTTGGGCATTGTACCCATGTTTTCCGTGCCCATTTCGGGCGTCCAAACCGGAGGAGGCTCCGACGGGCCCAGACCGTCTCGGCGTGGGTTCGGGCGCCGCCTCACGCTGCAGTGTGGGGACCATGCCTCGTGCTTTCTCGAGAGAGCGGTGACCCGAGTCTTCGCATTACCGGCGCTCTTGCAGGGGGTGGACGGAGCCCCCATCCTGACACATCGATTAATGAAATGTCCGTTCTCGGTTCTCGAGAGGGCGCCGCGGCCGTCATTTTCCAGGCTTGCGCCCGCCAGGTTTGGGCCCGAGGTCGTTTTCACTAAGCCACGTTTTACTACAGGGGGTTCTGTCCATCCCCGATTTTGGATCACCGGGACGCCAGAACTCGACTCCCAGACTCGGAGCGTCGTCGCTTGCCGGCGCTTCTGCGGCGGCCGCTCCTCCATTATGCATCACGCTCGTATGTTCCCTTTCTGGTGGGCTTGTTTTCAACCGCCGCCACCAGAAGTGCGAGGGGGAGGGGGTCGTCCTCCTCCTCCTCCTCCTCCTCCTCCTCCTCCTCCTCCTCCTCCTCTTCCTCTTCTTCTTCCACCTCCTTCCCCCCTCCAACTTGTGGTGGTGGTGGTGGAAAACAGGTCCATCAACTTCTTCGTCGGCCACTCCGCAGATGCTGCGATGCCGGCTCTGCCGTGGCAGATCCTTCTGTCGTGTTGGTGGTGCTTTGGCATGCCATGGGGGCGCCCTCGCAGCTCGTTCGCAGGATCATGCGTCCTGCGCGTGGCATGCGTCCCGTGACTGATTGTCTGGATGATGTTGGACCCGCGGCCACTTCGCAGTGACTCATCGGTGCCGTTTTCTCCTCCCCTGCCATTCCTCCAGCCTCCATCCTCCTCCTCACTTATCGGGAAGGCCTTCGACCAGCGCCGCCGACCCTGAAGGTGGACGACGACGACGACGACGACGACGACGACTACGACACTGACGCTATGAAGCCTTCTTGGGGCTCCCTTGGGAGGCTATTTGGCTCTGTTGGGGGGCCTCTTGGGGGCCTTCTTGGGAAGCCCCGTGGCCACTTGGAACCGCCTCGGAGCAGATCTGATACTTTTTGGAGGCATGTACGAAAACACACAGCATCCCGCCCCCCGCAACAGCAGATACGAGGAGGAGCCTCCGGGGGTGGAATCCGGGAGGAGGGGGGGATGGTGGTCCCCTTGTTTACCCGGGGGAAGCGGAGGGGAGGGGTCCTGAGTCCCCCCTGTCCATACGGGGACCACCCCCCTTGCCCCCCTGGTCCACAGGAGAGTCCTGAGGACCCTCCGGGGGAGAGGTCGCGACCCCTGGGATCCCCCCTGGGATTCCCCCTGGGTTCCCCCCTGGGTGCCCCCCTGGGGCCCCGCGTGTGGGTCACATTGCAACCAGAGCGGCCATTTTACAACCAGATAGGGCACTGTACAACTAGCATGGGCTTTCCCAGAAGGGCACTTTGCAACCAGGAAGGTCACTTTACAACCAGGCGGGAAAACGCACATAAGCGACACATGTTCCTCAATTTCCGAAATCTCCATGGGTCCACGTAAGGGAGACATTTCGCTCTCTGAAGCGTGTTGGTTGTAAAGTGGCCCGTCTGAAGCGAGAATATGTGAAATGGCGGATCCCTAATGGTATCCAACAAGAACATGATTGGAATCCTAGTGGCACCCTTCCCACTGGGATCCTGTTGGCACCAGATGAATCCCATTGGTATCCAACAAGATTCCTCGATATGGGACTTACGGGTGTCCTATTGGAATCCGATAAGGGGACGTTTCCTATTGAAACCCTGGGGACCTTCCCAAAGGAAAACGATTGGAACCTCCACTGGATTACAATCGAGGGAACTTCCTTTTGGAATGCTGCGGGAAACGCACTGGGCGTACTATATGGAAGCCCAGTGGGCCTTCTTGTGGGATCAGAAGGAACTATTGGAACCCAAATGAGATCATCCCGCTACAGGCTGGTGGCAGGCCTGGGCGGTTTAAGATTGTTTGACACCCATGCCCCAAATCTACATCGTTTTCTGGAGCCTCATAACCTCTGCCTGCAAATCCTGGCTTTTTTTGGAAACAGAGAACAGTAAGCGTTCGCCGAAAAAGGCGCAGAGGAACACGCGCGTCCCCAGGAGAGCGGACATGTGGCCAAGGAGTCGCTGGTATAATTCTAGCCAACACATGCGGATCATATTTGTTTGCATCATAGACATGGTTTGCCCTCGCGCCTCATCGCCAGGCAACGACGCAGCCGTATGTTTTTCGCATGTCCGGAAGCATGCGCGCCCAGGAATGCGGAAATGTGGCTAAGAAATCATTGATCAATTTCTAGCCGACACATGTGGATTTCAAACGGATGGTTTTTTCATGAGAAACCCTGTTTGTCATGGCGCCTCGTCGTCTGACCATCGCAAAAACCAGTGTGCTTTCGAAAGTGCGGAAGCATGCGTAGCCAGGAGGGCAGAAACGTTTGGAGGGTGAAAGTGGGGGTCGGGCGCAGGTTCCCGGCAATGGTGTCTCTACGGGCCACGCACGGGCGATACATCCTCGATTGTTGTGTTCGGCGGGGGCTCCAATTGAAGCTCCCCGCTTGCACACATGCGCGAGATTTGAGGGTAAACGAAGCAAGGAGGCGGGGGGCTCGGGAAAGGCGACGAAGGCAACGTGCGCTGAGGGCGCACAAATAAGAGGTTGGAAAAAAAACGAAAGCGGTGAGATGAGTGTCAAAATCTGCCCAGCCAACCTGACATGCGGAATACTGCGCCTCAATTTGGGGGATCTTGAGGGCCAGGGCAAAGTGTGAATTCACATTGTAGGGGAAAGCAAACTGTGAATTCACATTTCGGGAACCAGGAAGATGTGAATTCACATGTTGGAAAAAAGGAGCCAAAATGTGAATTCACATGTTGGGAAGAAGGAAAATGTGAGTTCACATTCTGGAGCGAAAGTGTGAATTCACATTTTGGGAGAATCGCGGGACCATCCTAAATCTGTCTTAGGGGTCGACAAGTCACCGTTTGCGAACATACGCGATCATTAGTAGCACAACCATGACACACTTGCACTCCACTTCAGAGCCCCACGCGCGATATGCAAGAACGCCCGCACGCATGAACTATAATGGATGGACGGCGCGTTTGCCCGCGCGGGCAACGCGCGGGCACGAACGGCTGACCCTCCATGACCGCCATCATTGGATGCCAATCGTACCCGATCACATACATGAAAGATACATTGAGCATACATGGGCCATTCCGCCCCCATTGAAGACCCCCTGTTGCAGACCCCCTCTTTCACCCTCCAAGATGTGGCCAAGAAATCATTGGTAAACTGGCCAGAACATGTGGATTTCAATGTGTGTGTGTGTGTGTGTGTTTGGCCGCGCTGACAAGATTCGTTTTCGTGCCTCATCGTTTGGCAATAACAAGACCATATGGTTTCGGATCCGTGGTCGACTGCATACCCAGGAGGACGGACATGTGGAAACGAAGTCGATGATAACACCCTAGCCAATACATGTGGATGTCAAACTGCGGGTTTTTGAATCATAAGCCATGTTTGCCCTCGCGCCTCATCGTCTGACAATCGCGAAAACAATATGTTTTCGTAATTGCGAGAATGCGTGCTTCGGAAAATGTGGCCAAGAAATCGATGGTAACAGTCGAGCCGCTACGTGTGGATTCCAATGTGCTGTTGTTGGCCTCACAGACAACTTTTGTTCTCGCGCTTAATCGTCTGGTAATTTCAAAACCGCATGTTTTCGCATTCGCGGAAGCATGCGCACCCGCATGTGGATTACAAATTGTTGTTCTTTGCATCATAGGCCATGTTTGTCCGTTGGCCCTCGCGCCCCATCGTCCGGCAATCGCAAAAACGCATGTTTGCGCAATCGTGGAAGCACACGTACCCAGGAGGGCGGAAACAGCTTGAGAAATCGTTGGTTCAATTCAAGTCAATGTATGCGGACTTCACTTTGTATTGTCACGCAAGCACTTTGTGTGCTCTCTTGGCAGAGGTTTCCGAGCGCTGAGGCGCTCGGAAGCTTCTGCCGAGCGCCCAGGCGCTCAGACGCTTGTGCAAAACGCCCAGGCGCTCAGACGCCTCTGCACGACGCCCAGGCGCTCAGAAGCTTCTGCAGAGCGTGCAGTCGCTAAAAAATCGTTGCAGAACGTTCAGGCGTTCAGAAACTCTGCAGGGCGCTCCGGCGCACAGAAGCCTCTGCAAAGTGCTCAGGCGCTCAGAAGCCTCTGCAAAGCGCTCAGGCGCTCAGATGCCCCTGCAGAAGGATCAGGCGCTCAGATGCCTCTGCCAAGCGCTCAGGCGCTCAGAAACCTTTGCAAAGCGCTCAGGCGCTCAGATGCCTCTGCAGAGCGTTCAGAAGCTCCAGAAGCCCCTGCAGAACGCGCGCGCGCTTCTGAAGGCTGGTTGTAAAGTGACCGTTCTGGTTGCAAAGAGCCCCGTCTGGGTTGTAAAGTGGTCCGTTCTGGTTTTAAAGTGGGTCGTTCTGGTTGTAACGTGATCGTTCTCAAAGGAATACCAAGGAATTCGACCCTTTGCTGGACGTAAAGTGATATATCTCGGTTGTAAAGTGCCGTTCGGGTTGTAAAGAGACCGAATATCCTGGGACCCCCCCGGGGGACCACTCCCGCTACCCCCCCCCGCCAGGGAAAGGATCAAAAGGAAAGGGCTTCCCTTGCAACGAATTGCGGCGTTGTTTGCTAATCGTCTGGCCGACAGGGTCCGCGGAGTCTCCTTCCTCGCCATACCTCTCCCTCTTCATCCTCTCATTTCAGGAGGGGAAGAAGCACACAGACACAATTAATCCTCGACTCTCATGAAAATCTGGGAAAAGATGGGAAGTGGGGGGAAGACAAAAACCAGAAAATATAGGGAAATAGGTGGAATCCTTTTATTTGTGTGTATTTATTTGTGTGTCCCATGGCCCCTTTCATCATGCTCCTATCCCTAGTCGTGCTGCCTCGTTATGTTTGTCTGTTTCGGAGGCAGCGACCCGGGGGATGGGCACAGGAGGGACGCATCGCCCCCCGATCGCCCACGGATCGCCGAGAGGGCCCCGATCACCACAGCCTGCACAGGAAGGCGCGGATTCACGATCGGGGCGGGCCCCATCGCCGCTCTATCGGCGATGCATCGCCGACTCCAGGTCGATGCATCCCCCCTTTGTGCCAGTCCCCCCCCCCCCTATCGTGGCCCCTCGCTGCGAGCCCACCTCGGGCCCCAGGGCCCCCCCTCCGGGCTCCGGGAAGGCATACGACCGCTTCGCCGGCCCGTATGCTGGCATCACCCTGCAGCCGTCGCTGAGCGACGCACGCAGAGGCTCCCCGGGCCCGCCCCGTCGGCGGAGCGGCCACCGACGGGAGAGGGGGGATCGGGATACGTGTGCTTTCGCCCCTCGCCCGCCCCATCGGCACTCCTCATCGTCATCCCCGTGCGCCTCCGAGTTCCTCCTCCTCCTCCGCCTCCGCCTCCGCCTCCTCCTCCTCCTCCTCCTCCTCCTCCTCCTCCTCCTCCTCCCTCCTCCTCCTCCTCCTCCTCCTCCTCCTCCTCCTCCTCCTCCCTCCTCCTCGTCCTCCTCCTCCTCCTCGTCCTCCTCCTCCTCCTCCTGCCAGGTCCACCCTTCGCCCTCATCCGCCCTCCTCCTGCCGAGAGAGCCTTCCCCTTTTCCGAGACTGGTCGGCACGCCGCCGTTCCTCAGCTCCTGGGTGGTTGCCAGCTTGTCGGGCGTGTCCCTCTACAGGAGGAATGTTCAAAACGAGAGAGGAAAAAAGGCTGGGGACGATGCTTTTAGTATGCTTGAGCATGTTTGGTGCACTGTTGAGTATGTTGAAGATTTCGCCCAAAATCCGCCTGTAGGAGGACATGCCCGACCTAATACCATGCCCCCCCCATCCGCACATCCACCTTGAGCCAACTTGTATCCGTCGGTAGGAAACAAGTCTTGGAGGAAAACGGGTCCTCGGGCTGTTCGCCGTTTTCGGGCCACTGCTGGTTTTGGAAAAGTACGATTCAGGATGCAGAGACACATCCAGTGCCTTCAAGAATATGTTTCATTTACGCCAGCTTTTGTCTTAGGCTTGCCCGCCCCCGCCGTTGTGGAAAGTGTATTTTCCCTCGCCCCTTGGCTCACTCCAGACGGAGATGCTGAAGAGCGGGCGTCCTTGAAACACAATCAAGCGTTAAGGGGTCTTCCGAATTATCGTTCGCTTCCCACGGTGCGTCCGGGGAGCTCCCTGAAGGTTAGTTGGGAGCCTGTGGAGGATCTAGGGGGTTCTGGCCGCATCTGTAGGATCACCAGGGCCTTCACAGGGCCCCCTGGGACCCCCCGGGGCCTCCCTTCTGGGCTGTCTCGGGACTCGTCCGTGTCCATCTGGGTGCTCATCCTGGTGGTGGACTCTGATGACGACACGTGAGACTGCTCTTGTCGCATTGCCGATTGCGCACGGCTGTTTGCTCGTCTTCTCCACGCCTGTTTGCCATGCAGAGCACAACATGTTGGCGAGGACTTGAAAACACGAGCGAGGAATAACCGCGCTGCACACCATTAAGGCTTGGTCTTAAAAACAGCTTCCAGATCAGAGTCTGAGTCTTCTGGGCATGTGAGAGGGAAGATGGGTTCCGGGACAGACTATGGAGGACGGCGCCGACAGCAAACATAATTTAGGTGTTGTGCTGTCCCGCACGTACGCCTTGTTGGAGTGTGCCACACATTGTCTCGCTTCAACACAGATTGAGTTTGAAACTGCCTGTTGGCGCCGAGGCGCCGCCGCCTAGCCCCTCGCAGGGCCGTCCCGTGGGACGAGTAGGCGCCGTGTCCCTGTGCACCCAGACCAGGGCCACGAGTGAGAACGCCGCGATCTGCAGAGTCTGTCATCGTAGCGAGAAGCTGTCTCAAAGTTAAGTTCCAGTGAAGATGGTTCTCGTGTCGGCGCAGTCAGCGGCGCAGCACGCAAGCACAGAGGACGAATTTCAGGAAGAAGGGGAGAGGGAGGAAGTGAGGAGAGCGAGGAGGACGGGAGGGGGAGACGGGGAGGGATGGGGAATGAGAAGGGACAGGGGGAGGGTTATGTTTGGCGCGCGCGCCATATCAGACATACTCATCCCTTCCCATTGCGCTGATTGCTTTCTATGCTTCAGCGGATATCCTAGCGGACCTGGATCCCCAAAAGTGATCACATCATGCGATGCGAAAATGGAAAGGGGAGTTGTGTACAAGGGTGCTGGACAAGGAGGATGCGACATCTTACCAAGAGCACGAGCAGGGGGAAGAGGAGGAGGAGGAGGAGGAATAGGAAGGAGGGAGGAGGCAGGAGGAAGGAGAAAGAGGAGTATGTGAATGAGGAGGATGAGTTGGAGGAGCAGCAGCAGCAGCCGCAGCAGCAGGAGCAAGAGGAGGAGGAGGAGGAGCAGCAGCGAGAGGAGCAAGAGGACCAGGGGAAGACGAAGCAGGGGAAAGGAGGGGGGCGACATCGGCAAGGAACTATTCGGATCCAGAAATGCGGCCCCCGCCTGGGCGGGAGCACCACTCTGATCGACGGGAGCAAAAACCGTATCCTTACATGGGGCCAGAGCTGCAGCGAGAGCAACATTCTGAAAGCCCGAAGACGTCCTCATAAGAAATAAGGATATGGCATGGTGATGTTTGAAATCCTGCGGACCAGAAAACATGCGTGGGCAATGGGGTCCTGCTCGGGCAGGATCTTCGGACAACGATGACGAGACGACGTTGGCGACGGCGACGAGGAGAAGGAAAAGGAGGCTCGGGATCTCGGGGCGTGCGCGGAAAGCACGACCACGAGCTTGCAGCGATCCATGGAAGACGCTGCCGACGGCACGTTGACGATCGCGACAGCGACGAGAGGAGGAGGACACGGCGGGCCCTGCGGAGTCGTGTCGCGGGGCTGCATTGGGGCAGCGAATGCCCCACACCTTCGGCTCGAGTCCCGCTGCTGGCCCGTGCGAGAAGCCCAGCCGCGATCTATCACAGCTGCCCACGGCGGCGACGGCGACGGCGACGAGGAGGACGGAACACGGCCGACCTGGCGGGGCCGTGTCAGGGGGCAACGTCTATCCATCGCCTTCGGCTTTTTGGTATCTTTTGCCCTCTTGCGTGCCAAACCCGGCCGCGAGATTGAAAACAGCGGTCCGTGCTGGCCTTCTGCGCGGCGAACAGACCCCGATCCATTCTTATCTTGCACCGCGTGTTTGGGCCAGCGTTTGCCCCACACCATCGGTTTCAGACATCGCTGCTGGCTTGCGTGTCCAGCCCGGCTGTGAGATCTCGTGCAGCGGTCTGTGTTGGCAGTTCGCACGGCAAGCGGACCTGGATCATCGTCTGCCATGCACTGTCATAGTACAGGGCCCATTGAGTCGAGATAAGATTTGTTGCAATCAAGCCTCGCGAAAGAGGAATTGTTATCGAGCTCCCCCTCTCCGTTCCTGCTTCTGTTCCCCCTCGTTCCTCTGTCCTTCTGCTCACTTGTTCCTCATCCTCCCGCCCTCGACCTCTCTCCTCCCTCCTCCCCCCATCCTTCTCTCAAACACTGGCGGCCCAAGGTATCGGGCTCTTTTGAGCTCGAGCTAGCCATGGGTCACCAAGCTCAATGCCTTCACGTGGCGCGTGGGGGGCTCCCACCACAGCATGATTCATAGTGCTATCTGATTGTATCGGAGTTTCTTGGCGTGGAACGGCTAGATTGGGCGAGCTCTAAGTTCAGCACTTCTCTTGTGCTTATATAAAATTGCCGGTCGTTCGGGTTGCACTTGTTGTGTAGCAGTGTGTTTTGCCACATCTACACACGTTGATTAAGTAGTTTAATTGGTGGGGCCGTTTCCTCCGGGCTTCCAGCAAGTTCCGTCTCCAGCGGCTGGTTGGGCAGGTGGCACGCAGGCCTCCTCCTCCTCCTCCCTCCTCCCTCCTCCTCCCCCTCCTCCTCCTCCTCCTCCTCCTCCTCCCTCCCCCTCCTCCTCCTCACTCCTCCTCCCTCCTCCTCCCTCCTCCTCCCTCCTCCTCCCTCCTCCCATCCTCCTCCCTCCCCGTCGAGTGGGCGTACGTCAGTGTTCGGATGTTTCGATTGCGGTGCTTGGGGTGGGGGGTTGCGCATGCGGTTTTGCCTTGCGGGCTTGATTGTGCGGCGCTCTCGGGATAGCACGCCCGGCCACGTCAGCAGGCGGTGCGTTATTGCCTTCTCGTGCCCATCGCGTTGATGTATACCTTCATGGTGTGTTATCACGCTCTGGTGGCAAACCTTCCATGCGGAAAGGAGCAGGAAAACATTCGTTAGATCCAATACCATAAACACCTTTTCCACGGTTTAGATCATTCCAGTGGCTGGGCAGTGATGCATCAGGTTCTCGGTTGCTTGGCGGCGGTGGCTCTCATGGTATTCAAGTGGGGGGTATGGGTTTCCACCAGTGGGGGCATGATATATGCGTGAAGTTGGTCTTCTTGGTCGTATGTTTCGTGTTTTCTGCCGTCCTGTGCGGGTTCATGGTCAGGGAGCGCGCTTTCCCGATATCACTACGTGGTGGCCGATTCCCTGGAATCCCTCCTCCTCCTCCTCGGGCAACTGCAGCAGGGGCATCCAGCGCGCCTCAGCATGCCCACGTCCGCCCAAGGCTTGAGCGTGCGGATCGTCCTCCAGCGCAAGGTGCCTGGTGCTGGCGTTGCCGAAGCTCGATGGCCACGTATTGGGTGCGACAGACGATCCACTCGCTAGACGCGTGGGTGATGGCGGACCACGGGCATTGCAATGATGGGCCTGCTTTCCACCACCACCACCAGAAGTTGGAGGGGGAGGGGGTCCTCCTCCTCCTCCTCCTCCTCCTCCTCCTCCTCCTCCTCTTCGTCGTCCTCCTCCTCCTCCTCGTCCTCCTCCTCCTCCTCCTTCCCCCTCCAACTTATGGTGGTGGTGGTGGTGGAAACAGGCCCATCAAATCGTCTTGCATTTCGCACGCGAATGTGAAGTTCGCGCCGCCCTCCCTGCGTTGAGCTCGTTCGGGCCCTGGTTCTGGCCCACCTGGGGATGCTTCCGCTCCTGGAGATGATGGTGGCGATGGTCGCGACGCTCAGTCACGGCGTCGAGGGCGAGGCCCCTGGCATGGAGAGAATGCGTCCGATCCTTGGGCTGCGTCGGCACCTTCTGGGTCGTCCCCATCTGGGAGCGCCGATCAGCGCACGAGCATCCTCGCCGCAGGGGTGCGGTGGACATCGGTCCGACATCCTGTTGCTTGATGTCACCTCGTTCCCCCTCGTAATGGTCGAATCCGTCTCCCAGCCGAGCGACCCTGAGATGGTGAACCCTCTGCTGAACGAGCTGGGAGACCTGCACAGGCTGCGGCTGGTGCCCCATTGGTTTTTGAATGATCGGGCGTACCGCCCGCTTGCACTCACCATTCGACGGCGTTCTGCACGCAGCCCGAGAAGCCGGCGTGCGAGGTGGTTTTCGCTGCTCTCGAGGACCCCGAGCCGATGATGACTGCGGAGGAGGATTCCATCACTGGCGTCGGGCCTCTGCCGTTCTCCTCGGCCTTCCCTGCTGGCTGCTGGATTCGCGCTGTCGCCGGGTGCGGATACCGAGGGGTGCACTCCGCGGGGGCAGCGTGGGCCATGGCACAGCAGACGGGCTTCGAAGCTCTCCTGGCATGGGTGCGACGAGCTGCAGCACCGCCTCAGAATCCGGGCCCCGCACGGGAGTTTCGGTTCCAGCCTCATCGAGTGCACGGGGCCAGTGCAGAGACTGGAGACGTGACGCACCCAGACTTCATCCCAGGACGTGGCCTGGCTTGCCATCGCAGGCCCCTGGGCTGCCTCATCGTGGGCGCCCTTTGCTCCCAGTGCGCGGCCTGGCCTGCCATTGCAGGCCCCTGGGCGACCTCACCGACGGCGACATGTACTCCCCAGGGCGTGGCCTGGTCTGCCGTTGCAGGCCCCTGGGCTACCTCACCGACGGCGGCATGTACTTGCAGGATCTGCCAGTACAGGTCCCCCGGGCTACTCCGCGGGCGGCGTCTCTCCCTACTTCTACGGCTACGGCACGGCGGGCCTGATCCTCCCGAAAAGGGTCCGTTGCGCCACGGCGGATGCGTGGCCACCGCCCCCCCGGGGAGAAGAACTCCTCCTCCTACTCCTCCTCCTCGTCCTCCTCCTCCGCCTCCTCATCCTCCTCCTCCGCCTCCTCTTCCTCCTCATCCTCCTCCTGCTGCTGCTCCTCCACCTCCGTCTCTTTCTCGCCCCTCCTTCCCCCACCCTTGTCACCCCCCTCTTCCCTCATTCTTCCTGTCTCCCCTCCCCTCCACCTCGTCTTCCTCATCCTGCCCCATCTCCTCCACCACTCCCCCCCTTCCCTCCATGACCATCCCTCCTTCCTCGCTCCCTCCTCCCTCCTTCCTATTCCTCCCGTCCCTCCCCCCCCCTTCGCCCCCTTTATCCCTCCCCTCCTCCCCCTCCTCCCCCCTCCTCCCCCCCCCTCTCCCTCCCCTCCTCCTCCCCCCCCTCTCCCTCCCCCTCCTCCCTCCCCCCTCTCCCTCCCCATCCTCCCCCTTCTCCCTCTCTTCCTCCCCCATCCCTTCCGAGGTGCTGACCCCGCGCGCCCATCAGAGCCGAGGCGGGCGCGCCGTCGCTGGGCTCCAAGGGCGCAACGGGGTAGGGGGGGGGGCGATGCTCTTCTCGTCGGCTGGGGCTGGCCGCTCCAGAGGGCCCCCGAGGAGCGGGCCAAGGCGTGCCCCAAGTTGCTCGGCAAGCCAGGGGGGAGCTCCTCTCCTTCTCCCCATCCCTCCCTGCTCCTCCTCGTCCTCCTTCTCTTCCGCCTCCCCCTCTCCTCCTCCTCCTCCTCCTCCTCCTCCTCCTCCTCCTCCTCCTCCTCCTCCTCCTCCTCCTCCTCAGTGTAGGCTTGCCACAGGATGTCCAGGGTGATTCTGGATCGTCGGGGCCTCAGCTTTCCGCCGATGAAGTTATCGTTGAGCTCCAGGGTTTTGGTGCTGCCGTGGGCGATGGTTTGCACGATTTGTGGCTCCTACCAAGCGTCTCGTGGCAAAGTAGCTCACTGTAAGCTGCAAGTGGAATGTCTCGGAGCGTCGGAGCACGGGCCGACTAGATATCGGCATACATATGTTGTTTCTGCCATCAAAGCTGGTCGCCACCCTAAGACGGGCATGGTGTTAAGACCCGTCTAATTGTCTTAAGTAAGGCCCGTGCTCCCGCCCCTCGGTTGCACGACATGGTCTGGCGCTGGTCCTCCTCCTCCTCCTCCTCCTCCTCCTCCTCCTCTTCCTCCTCATCCTCCTCCTCCGCTTCTTCCTCCTCAGCCTCCTCTTTTTCCTCCTCATCATCCTGCTCCTCCTCTGCCTCCTCCTCCTCCTCCTCCTCCTCCTCCTCCTCCTCCTCCTCCTCCTCATGTTCCCTTTCCTCATCCTCATCATCCTCCTCTTCCTCCTCATCTTCCTCCTCATCCTCCTCCTGCTCTTCCTCTTCCTCGTCGTCGTTCTCCTCCTGCTCCTCCGCCTCATCCTCCTCATTCCCATTCCCTTTCCCAGTCATCTCTCCCTCCCTGTCTTCTTTTCCTCCTGCTCCTCCTTGTCCTCCTCCTCCTCCCCCGCCTCGTCCTCCTCCTCATCCTATTCCTCCTCCTCTTCTTCGTCATCATCATCGTCAGTTTCTTCTTCCTCCTCATCCTCCTCATGCTCCTTAGCATCTTCCTCATCATTCTCCTTCTCCTCGTTATGTTCCTCCTTCTCCTCTTCCTCCTCTTCTCCTTCATTTCCCTGTTTTTCCTCTGCCTCCTCCTCCGTCTCCTCCTCTTCCTCCATCCTAAAGTACTGGGGAGAATACACATTTCGTTGTTGTAGTAAGTGCGGGATGCCAGCGACCACCGATCCCAGGCACCTCTGCAAGCCTTGCGTTGTCCCCACCCCCAAAGTGAAAGCAGAATCGGGCGCGGATCGCTCGTGGCCTCCACCCATGCGTGGAAGGCCCGCCCAATATTGCGACATAAGCCAATCTCGAGGACCTGCGCCAGTAATTCCACAGTCTTGACGTTCGATGCCGCATGCCTCATAGTCCTATAGTCCTCTTCCTGTTTCCTTCTTCCATATGCCTGAGTATTCCCTGTCGCACCCCCTGACCTGTCGGCAGGCCGGTCTGGGCGTTTCGTTTGAGACGATGTTTGCATACGTGAGCATCAAGCCATTATGGTTGCAACGGCCTCACAGATGGGGCCCAAGTCGTTTTCGGAACGTGGCTCTCTCCTTAGCGCCATGCGAATTCGCTTTAGAAGCTTGCAGCAGCTTCACGGATGGAGGGCTGGTCTTTTTAACTTCTCGGTTTAAGAGTTCGCAACCGTTTCTCAAGGAATCGTAGGGCTGAGGGTTCGAGGAGTGATTGTCAGGACACAAATAACGTTGATTCTTGGCGTTGAAGTCCAGGACTGGTGTTTTGGCAGGATTGAGGGTTTGCAAACTGGTTGTCTTGCAATGGGGCAAGCATATTCATGCGGGGACCTATGACGAGGAAATTTGGAGGGATGGCTAATTGCAACATCGTTGACGCGTCTCTGGTTGGCAGTGGTCCTCCTCCTCCTCCTCCTCCTCCTCCGCCTCCCCCATCGTCGTGCGGATCTGCGGCGGGCGGTCTCGAAGCCTGGCCTGCGTTCCTTTCTGCCCGTTATCTGCGCTGGCCCTCTGCGCACATCCGTGGTGCATGGCTTTTCCGTCGGTTGTGTGTTGCTTGCCCTCCCTGGGCGTCCGCTGCATCCGTCCTTGATGCCTGCTCGTTGTGCCTGTCCCTGTGTGTCCCTCAGCTTCTAGATGCTCATGTGTAGTGTGTGTGTGTGTGTGCAATGCGCGCCTGTGCTTTGTTATTGGCATGTTGGCGCGGCCTTTTCTATCCCGATCTGCAGCATTGCTCTTTGTGTTTCGCACAGGCTCCCTGTACGATTCGTCGGGTGCGTTGGGCGCGCTCGGGGATCGCACGGAGCATGCAGGCTCGTTTCTAGTATTTGTTTTCACGCCAATAGGGCGCGTCCTTTCCAAGTCTCCGCACCAGTGCCACGTGTCGTCCCGAGCATCGTGCGGCACATTGTGTCCCGCCGAGTGCCATACCACCTTTCTAGAAGTGCGACGTTTTGATGCTTCTCATGCGGAGTCCCCCGGAATTCGCGACCCTGTCCCCAGGGCCAGTGCGTCGTCCAAGTCGTTGTTGACGGGCCCGGGCTCCAGCGACGGCCCCCAGGAGCCGAAAGCAGGCAGAAGTTCCCCGTCGTGAGGTTGTCACGGCGTGAGCATTTTTTTTTTAGGCGCACCTCGCAAGTGGCGAGCAGGGCTCACTGGCCACAGCCCCGCGACTCGAGAGGCCTCGCCCGCAGCGGAGCGAAAGGTGCAAGCGCATGCCTGCGGCCCCGCCTTCGACAGCGTGGGGCCAGGCCACGCAGGCCAGGGCGAGGCGCGCCTTCACGATGGCGCCCGATGGGCGGCGTCCGCAGAGCGCAGAAAGTGCCCCAGCACGGCTCCAGCAGGCCCTAGGATGGGCCAATGGCTCTGAAGTTGCGCTGGAGCTGCCCAGGCCTCACCCCCGAGAGGATCACAACCGTACACAACATTGAGTTGTTGGAAGGATCTCGGCATTCTCACAGCATCGGGCTCCGATGGCCCCCTGTGGCTTAAAGATGGCCCCAGGATGGCCCCGCAGGACCCTGGGAGGAGCTTATAGAGGAGCCCTTGGAGCAGAGCGCCCCAAGAGAGCCCGAGCGGGGGCCGAAGAGGCCAGCCGAACCCCCAGATCCAAGACCCGGCCCAGCACGGATTTTGATCCGGGCCTTGGTGGGCCCGAAACGCTCGAATACGCCACTAGAGAGCCCCAACAGGGCCTCAAAAGCACCCCAAGAAAGCGCTTCAGACTTGCCCCACGAGGTATCCCCAACACTCGAGTCCGAGGCTCGGCCCAGGAAGGATCTCCACATGTCGACCGTTCTTCTCCTCGCGGCCGGCCATGGCCGGCTACCACACCAGACCGCCAGCCAATCTCAATCCACAGGTGAGGGAGGGTGCGGCGTGGGAGGAGGGAAGAGTAAAACGACGCGAAGATCGGGACAAAATCGGATCGGGATAACTCGAAGTCTCTGAGAATCGGCGGGTTTGGAGGATGTATTGGGCGCCGCAGCCGCTCCAGAGCGTTCCGGAACGCTCTGAGAGCGCTCCGGAACGCTCTGGATCGATTTATCCGGATTCTAGCCCTGTTTTAGGGTGCGGCGTGGGAGGGGGGAAGAGGTCAGCCCGCAAGCCCCATCCACGAGCCTGTTGTGTGAAAGTCCTCGGCCCTAGCGGGTGGTACGGTCCCCGCCCTCTCGCCTGTGACCCCGCGCCCCCGCCTCCCGCGCTGGCGCTGCCGCAGCGCACGCGTGCACCACCGCCCCGTGGCAGCCTGCGGCCGTGGCCCGTGCGTGGCGTTCGCAGAGCCCTGCTCGTGGCACTCGCCGGCTGCCGCCCCCGCCCCGCCATCTCCCGCTCGCTCCGTGACTGCGACGGCCCCCTGACAGCCGCAGCTCTGATGTCGTTCAGTCCGCGGCCCCTCCCGACCGCGCCCCCATGGGGGTACAAGTTCTCGCCCCCGAGCCACGCGTGATGGCCCCCGGGCCCGACAGCCGGCCCTGGCGGCCCAAGCCACGGAGAGACGCCAGCACGGAAATCATGCGGCCTGTTCTCCGTCCCCGTCGGCACGGCTTGCTGTCCATCCGGTCGGCGGGTTGTGCCGCGGCCGCACCTGCCAGGCAGTCCAAGTGCCCGATGGTGGCGATCCCCAGAGCGGCGTTCAGTGCCGTCCTCGGGGAGCTCGGGTTTCCGATCGGCCTCGGCCGCCTCGGCGTTGCCTCCCCGCACCCTCTTTCCATATCGATGTAGAGGGGGAGGGGCAGAGGGGAGGGGAAGGGGAAGGGGAAGGGCGGGGAGAATCGGAAAGAGGAAGGGCCAGGAGGAGCAGAAGTGGCAGGGGAACGGGAAGGGAGACGAGGAAGGAGATCAGTAACAGTCACTGGCGAGAGAAAGAAGGATCGGAGGTGAGGGGGTGAGGTCGAAGTGGAACGGAGAGCCCCCCTGCCGGGAAATCGGTTTCGGTTTCGTGTTCGTGCGTGTTGTGCGTGCGGGCGAGGCGAAGCGGCGTGGGCGGGCGAGAAGAAAGTCTCCTCCGGCTGAGGCGCGGCCGGACCGAATGTTTCCTGTCCGGGGGCCGGTGGCGCGCGCTGTCCCGCCGGTGTCCCGCTTCCGGCTGAGGCTCGGCCGGACCAAATGTTTCTTGTCCGGGGGCCGGTGGCGCGCGGTGTCCCGCCGGTGTCCCGCCGGTGTCCCGTCGGTGCCCCGATGATGATGATGATGATGATGATGATGATGATAATGATGATGATGATGATGATGTTGATGATGGTGATAATGATGATGCTAATAATAATCATGATGATGATGATATCGACGATGGTAACGATGATTATGATGATGATGATGGTGGTGATGGTGGTCATGATGATGGTGTCCCGATGATGATGATGATGATGATGATGAGGATGATGATGATGTTGACGATGTTGATGACGATGGTGATGCTTGTGTTGATGATGATGATGAGGATGAGGATGATGATGATGTTGCTGCTGATGATGATGGTGTCCCGATGATGATGATGTTGATGATCATGATGATGTTGATGACGATGATATGATGATGATGGTGCCCTCACGATGATGATGATGATGGTGATGATGATGATGAGGTAGATGATGATGTGGGTGATGATGATGATGATGGTGGTAATGATGGTGTCCCGATGATGATGAGGATAATGATGAGGTGGGGATGATGCTGTCGATGATGGTGGCCCGATGATGGTAATGATGATGATGTAGATAATGGAGATGGTGTCCCGATGATAAGCATGGTGATGATGCTGACGGTGACGATGATGATGATGGTGTCCCGATGATGACCATGATGTTGATAAGTATGATGTTGTTGCTGATGATGATGACGGTGTCCGGATCATGATGATGTTGATGATGTTGTTCACGATGATGATGAGATGATGATGATGAGATGATGATGATGGTGGTCTTCCGATGATGATGGTGGTGTCCCGGTGATGATAGTGTTGATGATGATGGTGACGATGATGATGTCCCGATGATGATGCTGATGATGATGGTGATAATCGTGATGATGTTGATGATGACGGTGGTGAGGTGATGATGATGATGATGGTGTCTCGATGATGATGATGTTGATGACGTTGATGACGATGATGTTGATGATGAAGACGTTGATTATGAGGTCGATTGTGAGATCGATCTCGAGATGGATAATGAGACCGAATGTGAAATCGATTGTGATATTGATAGTGAGATCGATTGTGAGATCGATTGTGAGATCGATAGTCAAATCGATTGTGAGATCGATCGAATGGAATAGATCGAGTGAGTTCGATTGTGAGATCCATCGAGTGAGATTTGATCGAGCGAGACCGATAGTGAGATCGATCGTGAGATCGATAGTGAGATCGATAGTGAGACCGACCGTGTGAGACGTTGGTTCCTCCCCCCCCTGAACCTCCTTATCACCCGAAGGGTGGTCGTACAGGTAGAAGCGGTAATATCCTCTTCCTCTCTCTTCCAGCTTGGGGTCTGATTTGCATCTGGACGCGCGATGGTGGGAAGCGATGGTGGGATCGGCCAGCACCGGAAGGAAAGGCAGACGCAATTCCTTCCTAGACCCCACCTCTCCTGTTCTCCACTCGTCTCCTCCCTCTCGCCTTTTCACCTCCCTCTCCTCCATGTCACCCTCGCCTCACACCGCTGCCCCACTCGTCTCCTCCATGTCACCATCGCCTCATACATCCCTCTCGCCTTCACTCGTCTCTTCTGTTCTCCATTCGTCTCCTCCCTCTCGCCTTCACCTCCCTCTCCTCCATGTCACCCTCGCCTCATACCGCTGCCCCTCACTTCCCCGCTCTGTCCCCCGTTGCTCTCCCCGCTATTCTGGCCCCAATGCGGGGAACACCTCTCCGTGGCCGAGGCTCGCCGTGGCCCAACAAGGCCCTTGGACCCGCAGGTGGCGTTCCTGATGGCAGCGCGCCGGCTGCATCACCCTCCCCCCCCTGCCCCCTCCTCCTCCTCCTCCTCCTCCTCCTCCTCCTCCTCCTCCTCCTTCCTCCTCCTCCTCCTCCTCCTCCTCCTCCTCCTCCTCCTCCCTCCTCCTCCTCCTCCTCCTCCTCCTCCTCCTCCTCCCTCCTCCCTCCTCCCTCCTCCCCCCCCTGCCACCCCAGAGGCCCCCGGAGGCACGAAGAGATCTGACGGAAGACTTCTCCTTCCTCCACCTGCTTCTCCTCCTCGTCCCTCCTCACCTCGCCCCTCGTCCCTCGCCCTCCCGTCCGCAGCCACTCTGGCTGCCTGTCCAGCCCGGCCCAGACGGCGATCTAGGCCACCTGCTTCTCCTCCTCCTCCTCCTCCTCCTTCCCCACTCCCCTTGCCGCCCCGAGGTGCCATCAAGAGCATTATGCCGGCGGGGCTGCTCGAAAGATAGCCCTGACAGAAGATTCTTCCTTCCTCCTCCACCCGCTCCTCCTCCCTCCCCACTCCCCCTGCCGCCCCGAGGTGCCATCAAGAGCATTCTGCCGGCGGGGCTGCTCGACAGATAACCCCGAGCCATGACGGGCGCGCACATCGCCCGCCGCCGCCACCCCTGGCATCCCAGAGCCGGCCCGCAAGAGCAGTCCATCCTCTCCATCCAGGAGGGTGGCGAAGCGAGGAGGGCAAAGCTGGCGGAGTCGAGGATCGAGGGCAGAGGTTTTCGTTGGGTGCTTTCGGCTATTATGCCTCTCGAGGCCTCCAGGGCAGGGCTCGAGCTAAACGGTGTTTTGGCAATTTCGTGGACCGTTTTCGTTTTCATGTTCATGTCGTTTTGCAGCAGAGGTGAAACGAAGATAGAAGGAGGGATAAAGAAAACACATCGAGAACGAAATGCACTGTTTAGCTCGAGCCCTGGGAGGTTGGAGAAGGAGACGGAGTTGTACTGCTCCTGCAGGCATGTCCAGGATCTCCGAGGTGGCGGGGTCGTTCCAGCCGCGGGTCCCCGGGGCCGTCGACCGACGTCTCGTTCGGGGCTCAAGAGACGGGGGTCAATGCAAACGGGGGTCAGCCAGGGTCCTGCGAAGATCCACTCTGGCTGGCCCGGGTTAGCGAGCCGCTCGTGGCCGCGAGGCGGCCGAACATGTTGGCTGACCCAGGTTTGCGAAGACCCGCGTTGCAGTTTTTACGTCTCCGGCATTGCAGTTTTTGGTTTCCTGCTGACCCGGGTCTGGATTTGGCCCGGGTCAGAAGAGCCCCGACTCGTTGCGGGTCGCTTCCGGGGCTGGCCCCGAGCCCCGAGCCTCCCCGAGATCCTGGCGCCGCCATGTTGTCACAACGGGCGACCTCGCAGGGCTGCGGGCCCCAGGGCCCTCACGGATCGATGCGGCCGGACGAGAACGGCGCGGGAGGCCGGGGCCCCAGGCGCCAATCGTGATGTTTTGCAGCGTGGCAGTTTCTCGCAACGTTGGATCGCAGGGCTGGTGTCCCCAGGCCCAGCTCCTGGGAACGTGGCCGCCGTGATTCTGCCCGCGGCTCGGGCGCGTGGTAGCGGGGGGTGGCCTGAGTGGGGCGTGGAGAGAAGTGCCCTGAGGGGTCGAGTAGGGGATCAGCCACAGAACTGATGTGCCCCCACAGTTGCTTCCCCCGCCGAACCGAAGAACAGGTACGCAGCATGCCCCGTAGATCCACGAGCCTGCGGCGCGTTTCCTGTACAAGATTCGGCGGGACAGCGGATCTGGGAGCCCATCGCATCTGCAGTCGGCCCCCCCTTCGCAAGGGGCCCTCGAGGGGCCCCTCTTGGCCGCCCGAGCGACGCCGGGGGCCCGCGGCAGCCCGCCGCTCCTCCCGCGCCTGTGCCCCCCCCTGCCCGCCTGGGCTGGCCTCCGGGCGCGCGCGGCGGCGCAGGGTGGCCGGTGCCTCGGCCGCGCCGCTCGCCCCCTGCCCCTCCCCCACCTCCTCCCGTTCGCTCGTCTCTCCTTTCCCATCCCTCCTCCTTCGCCTCCTTCGCCTCCTCCTCCTCCTCCTCCTCCTCCTCCTCCTCCTCCTCCTCCTCTCCTCCTCCACCTCCTCCTCCTCCTCCTCTCCTCCTCCTCCTCCTCCTCCTCCTCCTGCTCCTCCTCCTCCTCCTCCTCCTCCTCCTCCTCCTCCTCCTCCCCCTCGTCCCTCCTGACCTCGTCCCTCGTCTCTCGCCCTCCTGTCCGCAGCCACTCTGGCGGCCTGTCCAGCCCGGCCCTGACGGCGATCTAGGCCTCCCAGATGGGGTTCGAGATGGGGTCGGTGGATCGTTCCGCATCGCCGATGCATCGGCGACGCTGCTCGATGTGTGGCCTGATTTGCTTCACGCCGATGGCGCCGATGCATCGGCGATGCAGTGCTGACACATCGGCGATGCGGCGCGCCCCTCGCCCCCTGCCCCCTGCCGCTCGCCCTCAGCTCAGACATGCTAGCGTCGTGAAACACAAGCGCGCTGGGAGGTTTTGGGCCTTTCCCGGTCCGGCGGGGCCGTCACCAGGCCCCGCCAGACTGTCAAAACACAGCCCAGGAGGAAGAATTTGTCCCAGAGAAAGGGTCGGAGGTGAGGGGGTGAGATCGCAGTGGAACGGAGAGGCCCCCACCGGAAATCGGTTTCGGTTTCGTGCTCGTGTCGTGCGTGCGGCCGAGGCGAAGCTGCGTGGGCGCGCGGGAGGAACGATGCCGCCGTGGCTAGGGGCTTTGGAGCCGGTTGTCCGCCTCCCCCCCGGCGCGCGGTGGCCGGGGGTGTCCCGTCGATGGCGCGTCGGTGTCCCGTCGGTGTCCCGTCGGTGTCCCGTCGGTGTCCCGTCGGTGGCGCAGGGTGTCCCGTCGGTGGCGGGGGGTGTCCCGTCGGTGGCGCGGCGGTGAGATCGATAGTGAGATCTGTTGCGAGATCGATCGTGAGACATGTTGTGAGATCGATCGTGAGATCTGTTGTGAGATCGGCCGTGAGTCCTGTGGCAAGATCTATAACAAGATCGCTCGTGAGATTGATCATATAATCGACATTGAGATCGATTATGATATCGATATTAAGATTGGATTGTACAACCGATAGTGAGATCGATGATAAGATCGATTGTGAGATCGATAGTGCGACAGGTAGTGGGAACTGCTGTGCGATCGATTGTACAGCCCGATTGTGAGATCGACGATAGATATGTTTTTTCGCTCAGATCGATGGTAAGAGCGATTGGAAGATCGAAAAGGGGATCGATTGTGAGATCGATAGTGAATTCGATTGCCAAGTCCATAGTGAGATCGATAGTAATATTGATAGTGAGATTGCTAGTGAGATCGAAAGTGAGTTCGATTGTCAAGTCAAAGGTGGTATCGATTGTGACATCAATAATGAGATCTGATGTGAGATCGATAGTGAGATCGATAGTGAGATCGATTGTAAGATCGATAGTGAAGTCTATTGTGAGATTGATAGTGCGAACTGTTGCGAGGTCGATAGTGAGATCTCTTGTGAGATCAATGGTGAGATCACCCGAAATATCTACAGTGGGATCGACAGTGAGATCGATACTGTGATCGATAGTGAGATTGATAATGGCCCAAAGTGTGAGACCGATAGTGAGATCGATGGTGAGATCGACTATGAGATCATTAGTGAGACCGATCGTGAGACATGTTGTGTGCTCGATAGTACGTTCGAACGTGAGATCGATAGTGAATTCGATTGTCAGATCGATGGTGAGATCGCGTCAGAGATCGATGGAGAGATCGGTTGTGAGATCGATCGTGAGATCGTTTGTGAGATGGATCGTGAGTTCGATTGTCAGCTCGATAGTGAGACCGGTTGTGTGACCGATAGTGAGATCTGTTGTGAGATCGGTAGTGAGATCGACTCTGGGATCGACAGTGAGATCAGTTGTGAGATCGACAGCTTGATCGATGTGAGATGGATTGAATGAGACGTTTGTTCCTCCTCCCCCCAAAACCTCCGTATCACCCGAAGGGTGGCCGTATAGGTATCGACCTCCAATGTCCGCGCTGTGAAGATCACGACGTGGCACATCTGGACTGGACTGGACTGGACTGGACTGGACTGGACTGGACTGGAGAAGCCGCGCCTCGGCAAACATACCACACGACAGTACGAAGGCCATGGGAAAAGTAAGAAGCCAACATCGCAAATGCAAGCGCGACGGAACGCAAACACTGCACGGTGGTCAGTGCTGGGCACGTCTGGGAACGCAGAAAAACGGCCGGGTTCGGGGAGGGGGGGGGGGGCCTCTCCCCTTCGCCGTGCCCCCATGTCCTCGGCCCGAGCGCGGCGCCTCCGCGCGCCCGGCGCCCCGGACCGCGCGTCCGTCCGCTGCCGAGGCCGAGGGTGTGGTTCGCTCTGTTGGGGCTGGGGGGGGGGGCGCAGCCTTGCCCTCGTCGGGGCGCGGGGAGAGCTCCGTCGAGGTCCACGCCAGCCCCCCAGGGTGCGGGATGCAAACCACACCCTTCAGAGTCGCCGACTCCCTTCCCCGCCGCCCTCGGTTTAAGTCGGGCGTGTCCCTCTACAGGAAGAATGCTCAGAAATAGTCAAAACATAGTCTCGGACGATTTGTTTACTATTTGGGAATAGTAATCGCTTCGCTCATTCCGCCGGCCCTGGGGCGCTATTTGGCCGCTTGGGCTCGTCTTGGGGGCTTCTTGGGGGCTTCTTGGGAGCGTCTTGGGGCTCCTTGACGGCGTATTGGGCTCCCTTGGGGCCTCTTGGGGGGCTCTTGGGGGCCCATTGGGGCGGGAGGGGGGGTAGTCGTCGGCAGCCCCCCCCTCGGAGGGCACGATCCTCGTGGGGTGGCATTATTTTTGTTGGCATTTTTGAGTATGTTTAAGTCCCCTGTAGGGGGACACGCCCGACTTGACCCTCGGTTGGCGGCGCCCAGACGGTGGTGGCGCGAAGGGGGTGGGCTTCTGAGAGGGCGGCGGGGCCTCCAGAAGGCAGGGGGCCCCCTCCTCCTCCTCCTCCTCCTCCTCCCTCCCTCCTCCTCATCCTCCTCCTCGTCCTCCTCCTCCTCCTCCTCCTCCTCCCCCTCCTCCTCCTCTCCTCCTCCCCTCCTACTCCCTCCTCCTCCTCTCCTCCCTCCTCCTCCTCCTCCTCCTCCTCCTCCTCCCTCCTCCCCTCCTCCTCCTCCTCCTCCTCGTCCCTCCTCCTCCTCCTCCTCCTCGTCCTCTTCTCCTCCTCCTCCTCCTCCTTCTCTCCTCCTCCTCCTCCCCTCCTCCTCCTTCTCCTCCTCCTCCTTCCTCCTCCTCCTCCTCCTCCTCCTCGTCGTCTTCTCCTCTCCTCCTCCTCCTCCTCCTCCTCCTCCTCCTCCTCCTCCTCCTCCTCCTCCTCCTCCTCCTCCTCCTCCTCCCCCGCCCGCCCGGCTTCTGAGAGGCCTTCCTAGATCAGGGCTCGCTGAGCGGGGGCCAGTGCTGGCGGGGCTCCGCCGATCCCCTCGGGCAGACCTGGGAGCCACGTGGGGGCCGCGTTGCTGAAACAAAGGGTTGGGGCGTCAACTTCCCTAGTGGTCGTCCCCTTCCAGGGCCCTTCGAGACCTCCCCCCCTTCGAGCCCCTCGTTGTCGACACGCGTAGGCGTGCGCCCTGCGCGCGTCAACACGTGTTGGCGTGGTCGACCTATCTGTCATCGCGCGTTGACTTGCTCCCTTCTCGTTGCCAATTTGTGTGGCCGCGATCTGGGGGTCCACTGGGGCAGAGACTGCCCCAGCCCTTTGCTTAAGCAGGGCGCGTCCCCCTCTTCCGTCCTCCACTGACCCTGGGGTTGCGAGCCACGAAGCGGCCTCCCGGGCTTTGCGACAGGGCACCTGCCCGGGTCTGGGTTGGCCCCTGGGCAAGTTCGCGCCCCCAGTTGGAAGCCTCCGGTGCCCCCTGCGAAGGCCCCTTGGCCTTCTAAGAAGCCCCCCCTCCGCGCCTTCTCAGAGGCCCACTCCCCCTCGCCTTTCTGTCTCCTCCTCTTCCTCCTCTTCCTCCTCCTCTCCCTTACAGTACAGGCTGTGCTGAGCTTGTTTTCCCGCCCACGCGCCGGACGGCGTATGGCTTGTGCGTGCGTGCGTGCGCCCCCCCTTCTTCGGCGCCGCCGGCTCTGCGCCGCGCTCCTCCGCTTCGCGCGCGCCCCTCGGTCAGCACCGGGCCAGGGGCCTCGCGGCGGACCGGCTGGCAGGGCGAGGAGAGCGGCCCCCGCGGCCGCCGGACTCCTCCTCCTACCGCTCCTCCTCCTTCTCCTCCTCCTCCACAATTACTCAATATGAATACTACTCTCCCTCTTCCCCTGATGGCGTGCTGGGAGTAGCCGACCCCCCCCGCGTCCTGCTTTTTTACACAGGATTCCCGGGAGTTGGGTTTTCGCCTGCATTTGTTTTCAAAATGCTGCTCTCGCTGAGGCGCCGGCCTCATTTTCGGGCCCCGCTCGTTTCGAATCGTGCTCCCGCTGCAGCGCTGGCCTCATTTCCGTGCTTCCGCTCGTTCCGAATCGTGCTCCCGCTGCAGCGCTGGCCTCATTTCCGCGCTTCCGCCCGTTTCGACTCGTGCTCCCGCTGCAGCGCTGGCGTCATTTCCCGTGCCATGCCACAGCACACGCGCACACACGCACACACACACACACCACCACCACCACCACCACCACCACCACCACCACCACCACCACGAGCACCACCACCACCACCAGGACCACCACCACCACCACCACCACCACCACCACAACCACCGCAACCACCACAACCACGCACGCACGCACGCACGCGCACCACCACCCACTACGCACGCGCGCGCGGAGCCACAGGTCCGCTACGACACGCGTCCGCGGATAGAGAAAATCAGCGCCATGGTAAGGGATGGGAGAGAGGGGTAGGACGTCAGATATGACGCGAGCGCACCTAGCTTGCCATCCTCCTCCTCCTCCTGCTCGTCCTCCCCTCCCCCTCTCCCTCCTCCTCCTGCTCCTGCTCCTGCTTCTGCAACTCCTCCTCCTCCTCTCTGCTGCGCTCGCCGGCAGGTCGCCCCCAGGTGCGCGACGGCGGCCACGCTTCGCGTGTCGCGCTCAGGGCAGGGTGGCGGCGCGGGGGCGCGGAGGCAGTCGCGGGGCGCGGTGCGCGAGGTCAGGTGGTCCAGGTTCTCTCCGCCATGCCACCGCGCTCGAACTTCGGAACGGTCCCCGGCGGGTTTGCCGCCATAGCCCTGGGCATCGCCCGTAGCATACTTGTCAAGGTGTCCTCTTCCGTGCCGGCAGAGGATGCCTGCGGCCGCCTGGGGCCCGACTGCTGCCGTCTCGCGGGCCGCGGTGCGTCTCGCTGGCCGTCTGGGGGACGGCCCGGAGGGTCGGGTGTTCCCAGGGGTGGCCCCGGCATCGAGCCCCAATTCTCCGTTGCCCGTCACTGCCACGGTAGGCCAGTACCCTACCGTCGGAAGCGGATAGGTCAGACACTTGAATGGTTCATCGCCAGCGAAGCTGTGCGATTCGTTCGGTCAGTATGAATCACCAAAGGACCAGGCGGAGCCTGGGCTGGTTCTGTAACTAGTAGCCCAGGGTTACCCGAAGTGTCGCAGGGAAGCCCAGGTGGCCTCCAGAGCACCCCTCACGAGGCCCAGAGGAAGGGGAGAACATGGCCGTGACGTTTTGGCACCCTCGCCGCCCCCCTCTCCTCGCACGGAGGCCCAGCGCGCCGCCTCAGCGAGTGTGACGAAGAGGAGGCGATCCAGCGGAGGCACCCTGGACGGGCTCCACGGAAGGGCTCGGCGTCGACGTCCAGCTCATCTGCCAGGTCTTTGTTTCCTGAGCCAGGCCGAGGAGCGAAGGGCCCCGTGCCAGGAATCCGGACGAGGCTGGCCTGGGCGTGAGCTGGATACACGTGCTCCCGAATATGTTGCTCTCGGCCCACGTTCTGCCCAATACGACAGTTCGCCGGGGAACGCCGCCGTTCTTGTCTCTCGCGCATCCGTCCACCGAACTCTTGAAGAAAACGCACAGACTCTTACTGGCAACTATACCGAAGACGCCTACGGCGAATCACCGCCGCCCCCTGCCTTTGTGGAAGCGCCGATGTGGCCGAACGTTGAGGCCAGACCTGCCAAGCTATCGGACCATGTGTTCCCCGAATCGGTTTGGAAAGCCTTCGGGGAACACGTGGGCATCTTGAAGGTCACCTTGGCCGCCTGGAGGCCATTTTGACCCTTTCGGGCCTTCTTGGAGGACGTCTTGGAGGGCTCGTGGGCCGTCTTGGAGGGCATCTTGAGCGTCTTGGAGGCCTCTTGGGCCGTCTTGGGGGCCTCTTGGGGCAGTCTTGGGCGCCTCTGGGGCCGTTCTGGGGCCATTCTGGAGGCCTCCTGGGCGATCCTTGGGCGATCTTTGGGAGCTCTTGGGCCGTATCGGGCCGTCGGAAGGCCGAAACGAAGCAAATGTCAAAATCCTTCAAAACCTTACGGGGAATCACTCTTTTTGGCCTTTTTTCTGGCCTTCTTGGAGGCCCTCTTGGAGGACTCTTGGGCCGTCTTGGGCCAGCTGCGAGCCACCTTCGGCCATCGTGGTGGGCTCCTGGCCCGTCTGACGCCGTCGGAAGCCGTTTCGGGGGCCTTTCTGGGCCGACTTGGGGCCCTCTTGGAGTGCTCCAGGGCCGTCTTAGAGGCAATCTTTGGCGTCTTCGAGGCCTCTTGGGCCGTCTTGGCGCCCTCTTGGGGCTGTCTTGGGGGCCTCTTGGGCCGCCATGGGGCCATCTTGGAGGCCTCTTGGGCGATCTTGGGGCGACCTTGGGGGCCTCTGGGGCCGTCACGGGCCGTCGGAAAGCTCGGAAAGCCGAAAAGGCGCAAATGCCAGAATCATTCAAAATCCTTCGAAAAATCAAGGATTCTGGTCTCGTCGGGCCTTCCTGGAGGACCACTTGGACGCCTCTTGGGCCATCTTGGAGGCCTCTTGGAGGACTCTTGGCCCCATGCTATCGACGTCTTGAGTTCATTTTGGGCCGTCTTGGAGGCATCTTGGGGCCATCTCAGCCGTCTTGGAGGCCATCTTGGTCGCTTTGGAGGCATCTTGGAGGCCATCTTAGGCCATCTTGGGCCATCTTGGCCGTCTTGGAGGCCACCTTGGGCGTCTTGGAGGCATCTTGGAGGCCATCTTGCGCCGTCTGGGAAGCCATCTTGGGCGTCTTGGAGGCCTCTGGAACGATCTTGGGGCGATCTTGGGGGCCTCTTGGGCCGTCTTGGGCCGTCGGGAAGTCGAAAAGGCCCACATGCCCAAATCATTATAAAAAACGAAGGAACATGAATGATTTGGGCCTCTTCGGGCTTTCCTGGAGGACCTCTTGGAGGCCTCTTGGGCCGTATTGGAGGCCTCTTGGGCCGTCTGGGGCAATGCTATCTTAGGCCGTGTTGAGTGCAGCTTGGCTCGTCTTGGAGGCATCTTGGAGCCATCTGAGCCGTCTTGGAAGCCATCTTGGCCGTCTTGGATGCATCTTGGAGACCATCTTGGAGACCATCTTGGGCCGTCTTGGAGCCGTCTGGAGCAGGAAAAACCTTTGCAACCGGGTTTTCGGCAATCTCCCGGGACCCCGGCGGGACGGGCCGAAGCCCCAGGGGGAGTTCTTTTGGAAAAAAAACAAAACCAAAAGCCATATCATTTGGCATGCCGGGCACCCAAAGGGGGGCGGCGGATAATGGCCTTCGGCCTATCCCGCCACCGTGCCTGGGTTGTGGGTATGAGGCCTATTGGATGTTCGCTGGAGTCTCGTGGGAGGCTTCTCGGGGGCCTCTTGGAGGCAGTGTGGACGCTTCTTGGGGGCAGTCTGGGGGACTCTTGGGGCCTCTTTTGGACCTCTTGGGGGCCGCTTGGGGCCTCCCGGGCGCCTCTTGGGGGGCTCCCGGGGGCCTCTCGGGGCGGAAGGCTCGGATTGTTGGATCGTGCTCCCTCTTTGGGGTCCCTCTCTGGGGCCGGTCGCGGGCCGACGGGGGCGCCTCTTGGGCTGCCCTGGGGCCCTTGGGGGGCCCTTCTGGAGGCCCTCTCGGGGCCGTCTCGGGGCGGTCTTGGGTGCCTCGAGGGCCGCCTGGGAGCGTCGGGGAGCCGAAGAGGCAAAAACGCCAGAAGCATCCAACAACCGGATCACTGATGCTGGCATCTTGGACGCCCTCTTGGGAGGCCTCTTGGAGGCCTCTTGTGGCGTCTTGGAGGCTTCTTGGGCCATCTTGGGCGTTTTGGGCCGATCTCTCGGCGACTCAAGGCCGTCGTCGGCCGTCTTGGAGGCCTCTCGGGCCCCTGTGGGCCCGTCTCGGGGGCCCTCTTGGGCCCAAGAAATTCACGCGACAAGACCTCGCCAAGCCCCTGAGGGCAGGCGGGAAAACCCGAGAGATTTGGTAATTTTGAGCCCGGGCCCCTACGAAATTTGTCAGGACTGAGGACTGAGGCTCAGGGGACTGAGGCAGAGGACCTGAGGACGCCCACTCCGTGCCCAGCGGCATGGTGGCGGACACAGCCGAGCCTCGTTACAGGAACGCTCAGGCAGACGTAGACATGCACAGTCGCACGAGCGCACATGAATACGAACACCCAGGAGCACACAGGCATACCCGAGAGTACAGCAAGAAGCGCATCGGTCCCGTTGGAAACTGCATGAACCGATGTTAGGATAATGCAGTATCTACTGCAACATGTCAGGGCACACGCCCAGCCAGTTCAAAGAAACACAAAAAAGCTTCACCTTCGTGCAGAAGTCACTAGTTCCAATAGTTTGTGTTCAAGGACCATGCCACGCGTTGATAGTTTCCAGTGCGCGCCGCAAAGCTGCGAGAGCCGACATGGGCTGCAGCGCTGCCTGCCAAAAGGAAAGCGGGCACGAGTGGAGCGTGACGCTGCACAAGCGAGAGGGCGATGATCTGGAGATGGAGCTCGGGAGCACGGCCACAGGCGCAGTCATCTATCGCAGACGTCTTCGGCGAACCACCGCCATCCCCCTGTTGTTGTGCCAACGCTTGCGCGGCGGAACGCCTGGCAGAAGTCCGGCGAGCCGACCGGGCCGCGTGCTCTCCCAGCCCCTGCACAAACAATGTGAGGAGGATTTGCGGGCAGCTTGCCACAATTGTTGATCCTCAGAGACGCCAGGATTTGGGGCAGCTTGCCACGTGCTCATGGTCCAAAGTTTGGCGCCGCCTGCTCTCTATGTTGTGCCGCTGACACGGATGATGGGTGGGCGCTCTCATGGTTTTTGTTCAGGGCCGAGTCGAGTGGGGGA